GTACACAAGCTGCATCATTGTGTGGCTATAAATAGCACACTAGTGTTGTGTTGTGGTGCAACAGTTAGCCACATCCTGTTTCTAAATTTCTCACATTGGCAACAGAGTAGAACGATTAAAACAGGGCCAGAGTTTCACCTTTTGCCTCTGTCACTTTTTTTTGTTGTTGTTTGAACAATGGAACATCAGTGAGCATGCCAGTGGAAAATAATGGTTGATAAAGCACATCAAAATAACACCACATTTAATATGTGGGCGGAGGACACGTCACAATTTTTTTTAACAGTGTCTGTGTTTTCGCTGTGAAAAAAAGGAACATTCTCCCTTGTGCAAACAGGACTGAGCGGCAGCATTAAAGCTGTATCGTTCCATTGTTGCATGTGTCTGTACTTCCTTTATGAACTAAAAATAACCTCGGCGTGTAAATGCCTGTTTAGCCCCGAGTGGAACATGGTTGAAAACAGCCAGCAGTGTTGGCACAGGTTGGATTTTTCCAAAGGGAGTTCCTCCAGCCGTGGGAGGTGAATCCCGACCAACCTGTGTGTGCGCACTGTGCATGTTTGTGCAACTGGGAGTGCGTTTGCATACAAAAGCAAGGTATATTTTGTTGTGCTTATTACTTTTAAAAGCATCATACATTATTTAATGTGTATCCTATATTTAATTATTTAAACATACATGTGTTTCTCTGTCCATGCTTTGCACTATATTATTGGTTTGTCTGAACATGTTTTCACATCAGACAAATAATAGGCTACTTGGAAAATGACATTTTTTCTGTTTCATCTGCATTTTGAACATGTTCCAACATTGTGCAGTATTAACCAGTATTGACCAGTTTAAATGGATTTTTGTGTAAAAATCACAAATATTATTAGGGCTTGCCAAATCAAATTAATAAGAGAGCTTTGCAATGCCTTCATTTGCCTCCATTCATTTAAATGGTGGCACCTATTATTATCCACCTAAAAAAAATAATATACTTTATTTATATCTATCGTTTTATAGCCATACATTAAAGCAGCCAGAACAGCAATATGCACCGCTACAAATATTATATCAAAATGACCAGCTCGGGGGTGGGAGGTGTGCTATTACTTTTAGTGGCATTTTGAGTTACCATGGTGATGTAAATTGCAAAATACTACCATCACAAAACCTCATAGAAATACACTGAGCTCAGCTTCCAAGTGCCACATTCATCTAAACTTTTCAGAGGTTTTCTCATGTTGAAAGTAAGGTTCTGTGCAGCTGTTCTGCCCTGCCTTGTAACAACATCACAGTCTGGTCTTCTGATTTGCTGAGACTGTTACTGAGCAGAGTAGTCTCATAGGTCACATAACAAAAACTTTGTGTAATTCAACATGGCACCCAAATTGGTCATCGGTTTTAAGACATACAAAGCTGAAATTTGGTAGATTGATAGCTGAGAGCTAACACAACACATTCTTTATGTTAATCAGAAGTTTAAGCCAACCGCTAATGCTTATTTAAAAAAGGCTCTAATTCAACCAATTTTAAGACTTACGCAGCTGAAAACTGGTATAGTAATAGCCAAGAATAAGCTTTGACAAATCCTAAATGCTAAATAAAAGTCTAAGATGGCTGCCAGAGCTAAAATGCAAAATTGACCATAACTCAGTGGTTTTAATCATGTTTGGCTCATTTTGGTTGTTAGTAGGTCACAGTGATCTCCAACAAACAGTAAATTCTAATCTTTAATTAAATTGGACAGCACATGGAAAGTTCTTTCATAGTTTCTCCAGGAAATATTCTTATTTTGCTTATTGCTTATTCAATTACCTCGATTTAGAAACCCAATAGAGCAAGGTAATGGCTAGTTCAAATACAGCTATAAATGTAGGTACAATTTAGGAATATTTTATTAATACTTCAGCTAAAATAATAGTAATAATTGATTCAATTTGTTTTTCACTTTACATTTTCCGATCTCAAAGTGATCCAAAGCTATAAATATCTAAAATAAATAAATAAATAAATAAATAAATACATTTTATAAAAATTTTAAAAAGCGAGCTTTACAGTCCTTTCTTAAAACTCTCTCTAAAGTCTGAGGTATCCTCAGACAAGGTCAGAGCAAAAGGCCCTATTGCCCATGGTGCACATTTCAAAAATTACCATTTAGTGTGAAAGTGACAGCAGTGTAAAAGTTACTTTTTTATGAGCCGCTGAATTTTTGAAGGGCTGTTTTGTAGCTGTTTTAAAATGGCAGCAATGTGGTTTGTAAGTCATTTAATCAACAACTTGTTCCTGGCTGAGAAATGAAATTTACTTACTTTGAATATTGTTTTTCTATATTATCTGACTCAGTGCTGATGTTTCACTCTTCACCAACTAGTATCTAGTGAAAACAAACAGCATAGTCTTCTTTGAACCTTAAAGTGGGTGGACTTCCTGTCACTGGTTTCACCAGACTCTTTCAGTCTCTCTCTCTCTGTCTGCATCAGTTTGTGTTATCATCCTGAGCTCTGCAACTGTGAAACTTCTTGTTTGTGTGGAGCCACAGGTCTTGAGGTCCTCGCCATCTTCTCAGTCACTTCCCTCTGTTTTGCCAAAGAACACACTGTAGATAAAGGAGAGTTTGGGGGCTGCTGATCCCTGCCTGCCTGACTGTGGGAAAAGTGCGGGCACAGGAACTGGTGCAGGAAAGACAAGAGGGTGACTTAGAAAACAGAGATGTGTGTAGTGAGATGATATGAGCTAGCAATGACATTGATATGTTTGGATTGCAGCTACTGATATTTTTAGTATTTGTCAACTGAAGCCTTGCTATTCAGCATTTCACAATGTCAGATGATTTTGGACCAGTGGCGGCTGGTGGATTTTTCTCCAGGGGGGGGGGTTACAACTCCAAAATATACATATCTCAAAAAGTAATCACACATGTACTAAGTTGTTTAACAGCAGTGTATTTATTAAACAAATAAAAATAATAAAACAGAATTACAATGTCATGTAGTGTTTTATTTTTTGTACATACGTTTAGCTCTTCTGTTACTGAGGAGCAAATCTCTTCATGACTCTCTGGTTAAAGTCACGGATGTTTTAATAAGATTTTTCTCTAGCATGGTCAGTGCAGTGAGATGTRMTGTTGTGTACCTGAGGAAAGTCTTGATTCTCTTCAGTGTTGAGAAGCTCCTCTCAGATTCAGCTGAGGTCAGAGGAGATGTGATGAGAATCTTCAGCAGAGTCACAGTCTCTGAAGGTGTCCTGCAGATTGTTCTCCATGAAGAGCTGGTACAGAGCCACAGCACCAATGCAGCTCCAAAGATGAGAAATGCTATGTCACGATAGTTGAAAGACCTTTGATGGTCCATGTTTTTTTTTAATGAGAGCCACCACACTGGCCTGGCACTCCACAGGATTTGTCCCAGTCATGCAACATTAAAGAGAATCGTTAATCAACAAAGCCCAATCACATCCATGGTCTTCAGCATCTTAGAGCAAATTATCCCTACCCATGACACTTGGGCACTAGGGAACTTAGACTCTGCTTCCTCAAAGTTACATGGTGGAGAGATCCTTGATGTGCTCCTTCCCCTGCTCAACAGTGTCTTCAGTCCTGGCCAGCAGTTTCCCACCCAAACCAAGAACAGCCTGGCATTTTCTTTTCTGAGTCACTGAACTGTTTGCCAAAGCCTCCTCAGGGCAAACTAAAGTGCTTCCCCCAAACCCTCCCCAAATTTCACCCATGCCTTCTGGACACCCTGTACCAGTCAACTGCTACAAGAGTCCTCCATATTATTTATGCTTCTCCAGTGGATCTTTTGATTGCAGGGATTAATGATGGCCAGAGAATCTCCTGCCACCTGGCTAAAGTTCCATTCACACTGAATGTGATTTCAGCATCAAAATTGCGTCCAACGCTTCAAGTTGGACGCTTGTGCACTTTGAGGTCAGACGCGAGTCAATTGCTCTTGAAGCGCTTGACGGGCGTCCAGTGTGTCGAGAGCCTCCTCCCCCTTCTCTGCTGGTCTCGCCTACTCTGTCGGTCTCTGTTTGATGGCAGATGAAATAAAGAAAGTGGCTTTGTTTTATTTACTGAGAGCATGAGAACGTTGCGCTCATCAGATAGTTAATTCATAATTAATTCACCAGATAATTCAGAGACATTCAGAGTTTGATGAGTTTCATCACCCAGGAGCTGCGAGCTAACGAGGCTAGCTTTCAGAACTATTTTTGTCCCGAGTCCAGTTTGATGAGCCGCTGACCCGAATCAGTGCCCACATCTCCTACCAGGAAACCAACTACAGGCACTTGATTTCAGCTAAAGAGCCATCTGTCTGGACATCACTCAGGAAACTGTCCCGTCTGAAAAGCTGTCACTACGTCAAACAGTGGAGTCTGTCTGATTGGTTGACGTGCCGCGTCGAGCTACAGAAATCCAAATTTTCCAACTCCAGCATGTCAAATGCTAAAATCACTCCAATCGCGCTAGATGCACTGCAGCACTTCCCGGCGCTGCTTGACATGCATTGACCATAGGCTTTCAATTTAAACCTGATGCCCCTGATGCTGAAATTGTGTTCAGTGTGAACGCAGCATTGCATGGCACCCACGCTTGACAATCCTCCTCTATAGTGGTGAGCCCACATTGAGGCAGCATTCTTTCTCTCCAAGAATAGACGTATTATTTTGATAAACCAAGATATCTTCTCGTTTTCTTGTTGGGAAATGATGACACTTGATGCTCACATTGTATTTTTGCTAGTACTAGGAGTGTAGCAATTTCATGGCTGCCTTCATTCTAAAGTAAGATTTCACAAATGTTTTGTTTTTATTTCAGCCATGTTCTAAAAGTGCTGTCATGTATTGTGAAGGGGACTTTATCAAGTATTCTAAGTTGGAAATGTCGCCCTTAGAGTAATTTAAATTGATATTTTCTTTTGTCATATTTTTACAGGATGTGTAAAAGTCAATTTTGATTTTAACTTTATGTGGCCAATAATGATCAGCTTTTTTTATTTTTGTCTCTACAGTGAACGAGATCATCAGGAACGATCTCTCCACCATTTCTGTGCACACGCATGCATAGAAATCCAGATATCCTCTGCTACAGCGTGCACACACTCACACTCCAGCAGCAAGATCAACCCAACAGAGGACAAGAAAAAATAGCATTGAGGTCCAGAATATGAGAAAGAAAAGCTTTGACCAGGATCTCCTACTTAACCATCATTACCATCCTCCCCTCTTTGCTCAAAAACTTGTTGCAGACCCAGTCTGACAACCACTGGCAAGCTCAATTTGAATAGACATATTACATTTGAAAAAAGGGAAGTGATATCAGTGGCAAAGTATGTGACTACACTTGCCTTAATCCACAGCAGATGGTTTATTATTATTATTATTATTATTATTATTATATATTTTTTGTGGACCAAGCAGCTGAATAAGACTGAATTACTCTCGTACCAATGACAATCTTTGTTTTAACTATGACCACTATGTAAGTGCATGGACAAGCTAATAGGACAGTAAGTGTTGGGCTTTATCCCTTCAATTCATTGGTTTGTGCAGGTGGTCAGCAACAACCAAACTGGTGCCTTACAGCAGAGATACTGACAGCACACATGCAAAGTGGTTCATCCAAACCCAAAGCAGAAGTTTTTATATGATGTTTTTTGTATAATTTCGATGATTTGTTTACAGGGAAACTGAGTAAAAACGATTGGAGAATATGTTAACTGTATGTGAATGCATGACAATTGTGTCCTTATCTAAATATTATTATCTTTGCTCATTCATGTTAATTTTCATGGATGATATAATTTTGTATAAACATTTCTGGTAAAATATGTATGCCTTAAGCTTGTATCATAAAAATTTTCTATGTACTTTAGACTTTTCCCTTTGTCTCTCCCCGCTGTAATTTACCCTCTGTCCTGCCTTCTTTTCTTTTCACCTTAGTGCCTGTTTTTAAATCACTTTTTTCTCTGTCTTCCTGTCATCAAGTAAGATCTTGTCACAGCAATGCAAAGACAATCAGAGAACATTAAGTGCAAATCTTATGACAAAAGATCCTATTTAACAGGAGCTTTTAAAAGCAGGTGTTTTGTTTTTGACATAGATGAACAAAGGTATGCCTACCTGCTGATTTGAGAATGCCGTTAGACATTTCTTGCACTGCAGGTTTGCCTCATAAATAGGCAAAGGCATTATTGTACAGTAAATGTGCTCAGTTTTACTCATCATCTTGGTGGTTTAATGAGGAGTTGGCAAGACTGTTACATCCTTACAGCTGGCAATAATTGATCTTGTAGTGAACCAAAGAATTTTATCTTTGGCGAAATTATTGCCCAACTTTTCCTTCTTCTGTGTGAGACTCAGTGTAGCATGGTTTCCCCGTTCATTAAACATTATGCACTTTACAGCAGATAAAAAAACAGACTCTTCTTGCCTCCTGACCAAATATTGTAGAATGATTTCCACTCTTGTGTCACAAACATATGTTTACTCTTCTCATATGAAGCTGCAACCTTTTTCTGTGATTTGTCTTTTGGAGCATGCACACCATACTAATGCTGGGAATCATTTAGCGGATATTAGCTTCTAGAATAGCTTCTTAATATGTTTTTGACATAATCTATAATAGCATGACTAAACTGTATGAATAAAATTCCTATTTTGTGCCTTACTTGCTTTCAATCGTAAAAAAATGATGCAGCTGTGTAATGCTTCTCTGTATAGGCACAAAGTGAATTGTTTCTTTCAAATATGACATATTTATGACAAATAAAAATTGTTTAAAGTGGTTTCAATTAACATGTTCTCAAAAATGTCTTAATAAATGGCATAATGTTGAGTACAAAAAGCATGTGTTTGTATTGTATTAACATTCAAAGAGTGGTGTGGTGGTTTTTGCACTGTTTTCCTACATGTCTTTTTTAAAAATATCTTAGCTTCAACAGTATCCAAAAACTTAAATGTTGGAGTAACAAAAACAGATTTATAGAAATGTGCATGTTTTCTGTCTGTGTTGATCTTGTGATGAAGCATTGACCTGTTCAGAAACTTAAAGAAATTAAAGGGGCAATATCATGTAAAATCAACTTTTTTGAGTTTTATGTCATGTTATAATGTTATACTCTCATAAAAACATGCCCAAAGCCTTGCTTTGACTCATTCATGCATGTTTGAGAAATCCTGCAGTGTTTTTAGGCAGCCATGCTGAGGAGCAAAATGACAGGTAGGGACTAGAAACGCCTTTTGGTACCAGAAATGCCCCTGGGACGTGTCTTTAAGTCGAGCTTCCTCATCATGGAGCACATCTCCCCAGCCCCCACACCCCGCCCATGACTCCTGCAGGCTCTCGGCAGTAACAAAGTAAAGTGAAAGTGAAACTTAAACTGTCTGCTGCTCTCAACACTAGTTCTCACTCAGTGAAGCTCTTTTCAGATTCAGAGTACCTTTGAGGAAATGTATTTTCAGATGCCAAGTAAACTGCATCATAGCAGCCCCCCTCCCCCCTCTGCACTGAAATGGGCGAGAC